GTGGAAACTACAGGGAACTTCACAACGACAGGAGGACCACGGACTGGAAGAGACTATTGGAAACATGTATATGCACTGTGCGTGAGGTAAAATCACTGTCAAAGATAAGAATACAAGGCAGCCACAAAAAATATTGCTTGTGTTCGTTGTTCTATGTTTTTACACACCTATAATGGATGTCTTTCAGTAAACAACTTTCCAGGTCAGGCGTCTTTTGCAGTAACAGCGGTAGGTACCGTGACAAGCCCTGGTCGTAGCCGTTCGGAGATGGCGACGTTCAGACGTTCACAGAGGACTTCGTGGATGTGGTCGAGTTTTTCAGAGTCAAGACCGACCGTGGAAAGCTGGCTGCCATGCGAACGCTGGTGAAGGGCAGGACGAAGGCGGTGCTGGACGCAGCGCGAAGAGGCCCTGCGAAGATGGAGTGGACTGCTGTGAAGGCGGCGCTGGCGGTTGGTTTGATAGCCACGCCAACCGCCAGGAGGCCATGTGTCAGTTCAAGACGACCATGCTTGGACAAGGAGCGAATTCATCCGTGTTCACTGCCACTCTGCGAAACCACTGGACAGGACACTAGCAGAATTAGATCAAGAACCACGCCCACAGTTGCTGGCAGAGCAGTTCCTTGAAGGTCTCTCAATGACGGTTGTAGTGGACAAGTGGGCATGCGCTAGACCCTCGTCCACTAACAATTTAAAGCGCCTTTCCTGTAGAGCATTCGAAACGTCCCAACAGGCATCGAACTAGAGAACGCATTGAGGTTTGGAAACAAACCGTATATTTCCAGCAGTGTTTGGAAATATGATAAGTACTTAGTTAGCTATAGCCTAGTCTCTGGGATCACTCACCCTGCTGGCCTGAGGACCAACGGCAGCAACCAAGAGAAGAAAGAAAAGAATCGCGAGGTGGGCTACCGCCCACTCGGCGGCACTCAAAAGCGCGCCAAGCGAAAAGTGCGTGGAACCTTCGAGTGCGTTAAACAACGCTCGAAAAGGTTCGGGCTAAACGACCTTGAAGAATGGAATAGAAGATGAGTCGCTAGGGAAAGAACAAGCGTTTACTGCGTACAATTAAGTTGCACGACTGAAGAAAGTGGCACTGAGTTCATATCAGGCCTCCTATAGCAGGCGTACACAGAATCATGCGTACAGAACAAGCAAGCGGGAAAACGGTTGCAGCCGGGATCCTTAGAGAAGCCACACGATCGCTGGTCACTACACGGTTCAAACCAAGTCCGTATTGCCAATGTCATCCGGTGGCTAGACTTTGATGAGTTTGCCAAGGTGACGCGGAAGTTGGTGGTTATGTCCGTGGTCTCGGTAGATGCGAACAACAATACGGACAGAAGATACTAGAAGAAATGCAGCAGGCAATGGAGCAGCTGACAGTGAATGTAGCTACACTAAGAACAGCATCACGG